CGGCGGAGGTCCTGCGCCCGGCAGACGCCCCAGCGCGCTGAGCCTCGCGCCTGCCTCCCTTTCTGCTTTAACTCCAGAAACTGAAATAGTGGGTTTCCTACTCGGGTTCCAACCAAGGTGGGCGTGCGCTGAGAAGGAGAGAAAGAAGGAAATGCAGGGGGTGGAGGGAAAGTCAAACCGAAAAATCTAGGAGGGTACGGGCGGTGGGGGGCGGCTAGGCAGCTGGAGAGAGGGGGCGTCTGGGCATGAAAGCGGCTCTGTTCTAGCCTTAAACTCGTCTTCCCTATCGTTCCTGGATCCTGGTCAACGCTGAGTCTTCTGCCCGGGACCTCCCTGCCTCCACCGTCCCCAGGGGCCAGGGAAGCCCAGGATCTAGGGGGCAGTCTTGCGTTGCGTGCCAGGCTCTCCACGGCTGGGGCGAGTCGCTGCACCTCTCGGGGCCTCCTCCTTGCCGGTTCTCCGGAGAGAACCTCCTGGCGGTGCTGAGAGGCGGCGGAAGGTACGCTCAGCTGGCGCCTGTTGGCAGGGTTGAGGAACAGGGAGGGCTCCGCGAGGAAAAATATTTCCGCCCACCCCTAGCCCGCTTTCAAACCCAAGTCTGCGTTTGGGGTCTATTGTTTGGGTCCTGCAGAGCCAGGCCGGGGCCGTCCCACGAAGTGCTGCTACCACCTGGTGGCTCGCTCGGGGAACACAGGCACCTGGCGGAATTCCCTGTGGCCCTTTTTTCTCCGGATTATCACCGCGTTTCATTTTGTTCTCCTACTTTTTCCACTTATTGAAAGACATATTTATTAAAGCACTGGCTGCGGATGGGCTGATCAAAACTGGTACTTAAGGAGCATTCAGAAACCAAGGAAAATTGTGAAACAGATTTATGTGCCAACAAGCACAGTAAACAAAGCAATGAAACTCCTTAGGAGGCACCTGGGAGAGTCAAGCAGGCTTTAATGAATTGAGTGAGTGAGTGATGGGAGGAAAGATAAACGTACTAGTTCTCCTTAGCCAGGGCTGCTCACTCTTAATGTCCGGAGTCAATTCACAAGCTTTACGAGGTTTAACGATTCTGCATTTGGACGTCATTAATAACTTGACTTGCACCGGGGCGTCTCTTTGTTTCGTCCCCCGTGCTCTGGAACAGTGGCAGAGGGCTGCCTTCATTTCCTCATCAGTTATCGCCAAGGCCTTCAAAGACGGTTGCAAAGAAAGCTGAACGTCCAAGCATATGTGCTGTTATGTAACTCAGGATTGTAGCTGTCTTAACAACCTGCCAGATTGCTAGAAATCTATGGGTAGATTGGACATTTAAAAAGATAATAATGCAAATAACTGAATTATGTTAAAATAGAAGGATCAAAAATAGATAATTACTTCATAAACGCACACATTCTAGGAGCAATCTGCCATGTGCCAGTACACTGTAGTAACAATATTTGTGTTCCTTCCCGTGGACGGCATAGCTCATGTGAGGTGCCTACCATAGCAAATTAAGTTTTTGCTGCTCAAGGCTTATGTAATTAGTTATTTTTCTCATGTTAATAAAATTCGAGAGGCATCTAGTTCCCAAAGAAAGCTCCATTGTACTCGTGGTGCAGAGGTTTAAATCTGTGATTACAATTGGCCTTGGATCATAATCTCCCCTGTGTTTTCAAGCAGGTTTTAATGGTAGGTGGGTAGAACAGAATGCGTTGTTAAATTATGCTACTATCTGCAGCTATTAAAAAGCAAAGTAATGAATCCTCTTTCAAAGTTGGACATAATCTTTGTTATAATTTGTTCAGGGCTTGGCACACATTAGGGGTTTAGAAGTGTTTTAGGATGAGCGACTAAAAATATTAATATTTAAACTTGTTCTGTGGTGAAGGGTGGGACTTAATAAGGTTTGTGCCTCACAGAATTTATTTTCTCTAACACACAACAATACATAACGTAAATTTGGAGCCAGCCAAAAGGAGCTCCTGCACAGAAAACTCCAGGTGGTATGGTTGTTTCTGCCTCTTTTTTTTCCCCCCTGAATTTTTGCCTCTGTCTCAGGTATTTTTTTTTTTCCTCTCCAGTATCTATCACTCCTCATGGATGCACAAGTTTCTTCTTCTTTATTTCCCCTTAGAACAGCTAATGCAAGTTGATGTTACTATAAGCAAAAAGCTTTATGAGTAATGTCAGTGATAAGGCTAGGAAACAGCAGTAAAGGAATTTTCTGAACCCCTAGACTTCTTATTCCAAGACATTACTCACAGCTACCAGTGCATACACCTCAGGGCCTAAGCTTTTCATGGAACTGTCCTGAGGCCTCATGGCCTCTAGTTGGGGTCCTACTTCCCAAAAGCTGGAGTATAGTCCTTCCAAACATTTTGCTGATAAAACTATCACATGCTGGAGCCAGCAGGTGGCGCAGTGGTTGAGGCACTGGACTCCCACATGGCCGACGTGGTTTGACTCCCAGACCTCCTGGTAGCTTGCTTTCTCACTTCTGTCTCTCATCTGGTGAGTGCATGTGCCCTATAGCAAATGAAAGAAAAATGATAAATAAAATGGAATCAAAATAATTATTTTTTAAAGTATCAAATGTCCATTTATAGAAATAACCCCTCCCTTTTTTTTTTCTTGTTCAGAAACTTCTAGAGTGTTCTAGGTTTCTCCTATAGTACTGGTTTTAGGCAAATCTACATTTTAATTGATTTGTAGACCAACAGTGGTTGATACCCTTAATGGTGGTCTTCAAGTTTATCCATCCTAGTCTTACACTTGGATATTACTTAGACCAAGCAATTAATAAAAAGGCATTCAGAAGTATTAGTGCACAGAGAGACAGAGAATGACTCCTCTCTTGTAATGGAATATTACCTCAGTCAAGAATTGGCTTAAGCTGCATGTAACAGAAAAATGATATAGTAGTGGCTTAAACAACTCAGGGAACCCAACAAGGCATGAGGATCCAAGCCAGATTTTCACTCATATTTTGAGTCTTGTTCTCAGCTCCTCAAGATGTTATTGAAGGCTCCTGCAATATCTATTGATTTTAGGCAAGAAAAAGAAGGGAATAGAAGTAAAGAGATACATCTAGCTGAGTTGCAACTGTTTAAAGCTAGAAGCTCCGCCCAGTGATCCCTCTGTATGCTATTGGCTAGGATTATGCCACATGACTACTTCTACCTGCAAGAAACTGAGAAGTGCAGGGTGCATCCAATAAAAGCTCTGTGAGTAAGAGAAGAGAAAGAATATTAGGCATCTAGCAGCCTCTACCACAAATAAGATGTAATGATCATAATTATCTACATCTTTTCTGCAATCAGCAAAAGTGGATGCTTTTTATAAGCTGGTATTTTCTCCCAAAACCATCATTATTAATACACAAAGACACACACACACACACATTAGTTTTTGCCACAGAGTACATGGCTTGCTGGAGAAAGAGAGACAAAAGGAAATCACACTCTAGGGGAGATGACCATGCCACAAACCTTTCTCCTCCATCCTCCTCTTGAGATTTGGGGCACATATGCACCAAAGTCACACCTGGTATGACTTTCAAGCCACCCATTCTGGGCTTCTGCCATGGTTGGCCATGTGGAGTCTAGCCCCTTAACCACTACGCCACCTGCTGGTCCTTAATACATATTTGTTAATGTTTGAAATGAATCCCAGGAAGTTGGATTGAGTGGAAATGCTAGGAGCCTCCTCTCACTAAAATAGCTATGACAACCACCTCCAAAGAAAAATAATAAACCTACTGCAGTTACTCATATAAACAGTAAGAGCTAAAAACACTCTAAATTTTAATAAGATTCCAGGCAGCTCCCCTGAGAAGAACTGAATTGATAAGTGTTCCACAACTCTCTCTGTTCCTGTCCTTGTCTCTGCCTTCTCACTGCAGGTCTGGACAGGAGTGGGGATGAGCTGTCACAGGAGCAGGTAGCCCCCATGCTCTGCCCTTTCAGTGCACTGCACACTTCTCTCCAGCTCTACACCAGATCGCTTCTGAAAAGGTCCACATCCCCAGATGGCAAGAGTGACCTGCGTCTTGACAATGTCTACCTTTCAGGTTGAGCTGTGTTGGAAACGTTTTCTGGTTCTCAGGGTCTTGGAGAGCCCCTTGTCTTGGAATATAAATCTCTCTCTACATTCAAATGGGAGTCTGCAGGTCTGTCATCAGAACTTGAAGCACCAGCAAAAAAGTGGAACAAGTCAGTGTCAAGAATGAGCAACAAAATTTGAGATCTTTTAAAAATCTAAGGCAAAGTGAAAAATAAGGTTAAAGAAAGTCTCCACTTGGGCTAGCTCTATGGCCTGGTAGTTAAGGCAGCCAGATCACACGTGGCTGACTGCACAGTTGGAGTCCCTGACCTGGAAGTTTGAGAGACATGCCAGGCACATGTGTGTGCATACCCAAACTCACAAAAGCAGGGAGAGATGGAAGAAAAGGGATTGTGGCGTGACCATGCCCCACTGGGAGTGTTTTCTCTCTCTCTGCCTCTCTCTGGCAAGTGCATAATCCACATAGTAAAAATCAAACAAAAGGACCAGCACTGGGAGTGTTTTCTCCTCTCTCTCTCTGCCTCTCTCTGGCAAGTGCATAATCCACATAGTAAAAATCAAACAAAAGGACCAGCAGGTGGCCTGAAGGTTAAGGTGGCTGGATCCCACTTGGCCAACTGCATGGTTTCAGTCCCAGACCCAGAAGCTTGATACTACAGGTGGGTGCTCAAAATCCTGAGAGGACAATGGAGAAGAAGGGATTGCAGTGGAGTCACCTGGGAGGG